CGGTACTGCACGACTCTCCTGAGAGATATAAACACTAATCCATAGATAAATGTAGCATTGTACAGTCCGTAAGATTTTAACATTACTCTCATGTATTTTGCATATTTTAATATGTTATAATTCCATTATAACAATTATTACATTTAGTTATAATTATGAGAATTTTGCAGTAAGAATTTTTGTTAGGTTTAAGAATCATTGGAAATAGATTGCTTTAAATGATTTAGAATAATTACTGTTACTTTTGAACAATCTGCTCCACAGTATAAGCAATATTTTTGTACTCCGTTTAGAATCAATCAGGAAAAATACATTAAATACACCCTGCTATTTATTTTAAGAATAAACCATTCTTTTAATTTAGATAGTGGAAAAATAGATCAATAATTAAAAGAGTAATAATAATGTTTTGGAATTCAGAAACAAGCTTCCCGATAAATATTTGTATTTAAAAATTATATACATAAGTAAAAGAAAGTTCACCATCGAACGCAGGTATCGATGCTCGTCTTCATTTTGCCATAGAACATAGCTAACCGCTCTGAACATGCAATTACCATCGCCATAAATGTTGTGCACGCGAAACGTGCCCTCAGCGCACCTTAAACGAGCCGTACCTGCAAACCCAAAAGATACGATAGAAAAAGAAAACATTTTCAAAATCATTAAATCACCAAATTTCTCTTTCAAAGGATATTATTAATTCAAAAAACACAAAACAAAAATAAAGCTACCAGTTAAAGAAGCTATACCTGTAACACATTTACAAAAGCTACGATTTAAAGAAACAAACATTTTCAAAATCATTAAATCACCCAATTCCTTTTAATTTTTCAAAGAAACTCAGATATTAATTTTTCACAAAAATTCAGATGATTGTTGTGAAAAAGAAGAAGAAAAAAAAATAACAATAAAAATAATAAAAAAATAAAAATGTACCTCTTTTGAAAAAGATAGAACGCCTGCTTTTATCTCTCTTAAGCGATCCGCGTGGAAATGACGATTGAAAGGAACAAGCGCTGTTGGTCGATTGAATTCCGGAAACGTGGTTTTCAAAGTCGCCGCGGTCCAGGTGTTGTTCGTAACCAAATCGATTATACCTTTTCGCATTCTTGAACGGCGACGAGCGACGTACGCACTTGTCTATTAATACAGATAATCAACGATAAAACGATAATCGATGGCGTTTAAAGATAGGCAGCTCGAAAACGACAGCTTGTTTATTTTCAGAGATATTATCTCTTATCGATTCTGACTTCTTCACTTTTTCCAAAATTTTGCACGTGTTATAGAAATTATCGAGCTAAACTGATAAACCTGTTGAAAATTAAATTTTCAACGATCTTTCTTCTGTCAATAATAATTTTACCATCGTAAGGATTTAAAGTTATTGCGAAGTGGCTTTTATACGTGTTACAGAAGTTATCGAGATAAACCAATAAACATGTTGAAAATTAAATTTCTTTACGTCAAATTTAATTTTCAAAATTAATTCAAACGATTTCATCTGTCGATGATTTTATTATCGCGATATATTTTTTTTTCTATCAAGTGGCTTTATTATTAAGTGGCTTTTATACCGTCTTCGAGAACACGGCTACAGAAATAGAAGCACCAGAGGCAAGGTAAGAAGAACGCCGTCAGGAAAGTTAATATTTGGACTTTAGAGATGTCCAGCTTAGGTTTCCTTCAACACCCAGAGAATTTTTCAACATTATACACTGCCACATTTTTTATCAATGCTCTTGCTTCACTCAGAAATTGCTATGTTAGAGACGTCGGCTTCACTTGGAACGAATTTTCCGCCAGTTAGCGTGTGTACGATTTACTCGTGCGTAATTTGAATCGTTGACGTTGACATGTTGGAGAATCTGACGTGTCGGTTGATTTTCTTATGTCCTGTTTATCCTACAATGAAATTGCACACTTTGAAAACAAAGTCAATCACGAAATTTAATATATTCGAGGATCTGAATAATATTTATTGCGAATCTAGGAAAGAATTATTATGAAGCTAGTAACAGTAACAGGAACTCATATTTGTAGTAAACTAAAGTATAAATTTCGAAAAGAGAAAAATTTTCAATGTCTACGAATAATAATTTGCAATTTTCGAAAGTTCGAATTCAAAATTCTATTTTTGTTAACATTCTACGGTAACTTCTTTGTAAATTGGACTTTTTCTTCATTAACTGTAAACAATTCTTTTGATTCGTTCGTTTTAAGAATATAGTGGCGCCATCTTACAGTGAGCTTGTGACGCTAAGTCAGGGTTACGTTAACCAATTACGATTTTTCGATTTGCAGGAGAAATTTTTTCACATTTAAAGATGAAAATTAATGCTTAAACTATTAGTCCGTTAATTATTAACAATTATATACATCCATTTACCATTTGCAAAGAATGATTAATAACTAATTATTCAAACACAAAGTTACAATTCAAAGTGAGCAATTCATTATTGTTTTCTGCCTAACGAATACATGTAAATACTTGAAAAACAGCGAGGCTTAAAGAAACGACATATGCCTATCCTTTTCTAGCATCTTCGCTCCTTGTCTACTTCCTCCATCATCATTCTGTAATCCTACTACCAAGCGAGCGAAAGAAGTAATAGGATCAGGCTGAAATTATAAACTAAAGTAAGTGATTATTCTCTATTCTTCTCGCACATTACTATCTCCTTCTAACACCTCCGCAGTTATTCTATAATCCTATTATAGAGGGAGCGAAACAAGTAATAGGAGTAGACTCAAATCATAGTATAAAGTAGGTTAGTGCTCTCTATCTTTCTCGTACATTACTGTCCTCTCTTTAATACCTCCACTATTATTCTGTAATCCTGCTACATATGGAGCGAAAGTAGTAATAGGAGTACACTTAAATTATAGAATACAGTTGGTTATCTATTCTCTATCCTTCTCACACAATTTACCTCCTTGTTTAATAGCTCTATCGTCATTCTATAATCCTATTAATAAAGGAGCGAAACAAGTAATAGGAGGAGACGCAAATTATAGAATAAAGTAGGTTATCTGTCCTCTATCGTTATAGCTTCAATCCATAGCTATAACTTCCACTAATATTCTGTGTTCCCATTGACTGTGAAGCATTTTTAATACGAATTTATAATGCACAGAGATTATTTGCTGCATTTCTATTTACATGAGAAATGGTGGTAACATATGCACACATACATATAAGATTTCAAAGTTTAATATCGTATTATTTCGAGGCATTTCATTGTTGATTATGTTTTACAAATTTCATCGTGATATATTGTCAAGTAGTAACGTTTAAAACGAGTACATATTTCAACCACATATCATTGCAGGGTTTTAATAATTCAAATATTTAAGCTTATAAATCAATGAAATAAAAATTAGGTGAACACAGAGTAGAATATATGTTTTAATATTTCAGTAGAATGTATATATTTAGTTATAATTTAATGCAATTTACTTGTACTTTGCACATAACGTTATTTGACAGGTTATGGAGGAACGTCTTGTTATACCGTGCAGTGCTGTCAATGAACTGTAATATCGTTTAATTGAAGATGACTATACTATATACAACTATACCAACTCGATAAGCGGGAAAATTGAATAACCAACGACTCTACCCTTTCGCTTGTATAAGTTTTGCGTTTATCATTTTTCAAATGTATGACGCTATTGTATCATGAAATATTTTTAGATTATTCAGTCAATAAATCTTTGTTAATTACGTCTAACATCGATTACTCTCACTAAACTATCACACACTGCTCACAATGACCAGATGCTCCATATTTCTCAAGAGTTCTTAAAAAACCCGGGAAATAGGACAGAATGCATTCAATCACCTTTTATTGTGCGTACGCTTGATATCGATTTTTTAATTCGCTTGAATAACTTTGAAAATGTTCTTTTATTTTAAATAACAAGTAATCATACATTACACATGACAAGTCTTAGTAAATTAATCTGTTTTGAAGGAAAAAAAAGTAGAATATATTGCAGTGTAATTAAAATACTCTCGAGGAAGGCACCATGCGCGAATTTGGAAGTGCAGCAGCTTAAGGTCGTCGTACGCTGGATCGACACAGTCTGCTCTACTTCTACTACACGGACGGGGCGAACTATACACACATGTGACACACATACATACTCATGTAGTTGCTTCCCCAGATCAGTACTAGCGGCGTACAAGCGGCGCTGCTCGCTACATAGCAGCTACTTGTCACTCAGTAGTTACACGTCAACCGAGTATCGTGTTGTTCGCAGCGGCTTTTTCTGTTGTATGAGTGGTTCGGAGAATTCAGAGAAGACAAAGCCCCTTAATCGCCTCGAGACGCAGCTTCAAGAGAGATACAATCGTACGGAGTTTACGATTTGTGAGCAGTTCATCGTGCGCGTTTCACCTGCTAGCACTACGGAACTCAATCCTTCGACGTGCCTCGGATATTAGTAGGGTTTAGCGATCCTCCAGGGTACGACATTTTTTTCGAGGATTCTAGAAGCGTGCATTTACATTTCTATTCATATTTTCAAAAGTATAGGTGTATGTGCGCCCGCGTGCATTCACCGAAGAAACGTCGCTATTGATTTGCAGTAACGAGTGTCGTGTAGTTGTATGCCCGCTTGATTATGAATTAACCGAGCACGTTACATCCGTGGTACCGAACAATTCGTTTCGACTAATTATCTCAATAGTTGTTAAGAATAGTAGAATGAAAAATAATAATTTCTTTATCTAGTTCCTATTGTCGTTTGTTATGTAACCAGATAGTTTTCATTTGACGTTTGTCCTTTATCGTCTTTCGCGGTACCACGTGTGTAATGTTCATCGTATATTGAGAAACATATATTATCATGGAAATTTAAAAGTTATTACCCATGATACGATTGGCAAATTACTTAACTACGTGCGTTTAACGTCACTCGTTCGAATAAATGTCAGTTTAGTCAAAAAAAATTTTTTTATCGAGTTGAACGTGTTTAAGTAGTTCCATTTAAGATAAGTGTCAGGATGTCACACTCGTTTCTTTAAAAAATCGATGAAACCGTCTTTTATTTAATTCGAAAGTAGGTTAGTGGCAACTGTGTGCATTATCCGGTCAAATGTCTTTGTCGATTCTTCTCTATGGTGTAATTAATCTCGACTGAAGAAAAAACGTATTATAAACAAGACAAGTAATTTGTATACTTTCTTATCAAGTTCAATATTTAGAGTTATTGCTAATATTATCAATGTCACGAAACCATTCACACGGGCCAATGTCCAAACTTGGCCATGTTCACCGAGTACATTGACATTCCGCAACGAAATGTCGAAACCCTTCGAATTTGTGAAGCAAGCGTGCCAACGTACACACTCCAGCGATTTTACTGGAACGCTTATTTTTTTGCATAGTCGCGCATTCGTAAATTCTCGGTTGTAAAGGACCGTTAGAAATTCGTTCCTTTGACCTTCGCGTGACTGGAAATCAGTAGAACTCTGAACATACACAACTACATATACATATATGTATATTCGTAGCATTCAATGCTTCGTTATGTTTTGACAGGTATTCATTTGGACAATGAGCTGTGCGTTCCCTTTTTTCGAAACTGTGAAACCGGACTGACGAACGATACCGTATTTTGTTCGAGACATTACGAAATCCTGTAGAGGCAGGTATTTGAATTTAAAATAACGAGCGAACATCGTTATCGTGCCAACGTAGTTGCCGATTAACGTGTTAAGAGACAAAACGTAGAAAAAGAAACGTTACATAGAAGAGATGAAAGATACAACGGGTAAGAAATACGAAAAACTTTTTGACGATAATGAACTCGACACTGCCGCAGCCGTCGTCCCCTCCGACAAGGAACATAACGAAAATATACCGGTAAAAGAGGTAAGAATAATTTTAGATTAACATCACGTTGTCGAATGCAGCATTGTTAAACAGTGTCACGCAATTTTTCATTCAACTATGTAATATCAATCAGTTTTTATATCGCACATTATTTTTTTAAGCTTAACGGTATATGCAGCTTTATGTAAAATATTTTGCTTTGTAATATAAAAATTTGTTGATATAACGAGGGCTTCTTTTATTGAAGAAAAAGATATTTTTAAACTGCTTGCATGATACACGTGTAATCTCAATAGAAGATTGTTTAAAACTGTAAAATGTAAAATAAATAAAAATATTGGAATATGTAGTACGAAAAGTTCATTGTAAACGTGGTGTCTTCAAATGTTTCGGTATCGATCGAATGTTCACCCTGCTAGCAGCACCTGCTAGGGCCTCTGTTGTAACCTGCGATTTTATTTACAAGTGAAATAATTTTTTTATTTTATCGTTGATATGTTGCTTTTACGATTGTCAGAAAACAAAAACGTTGGAAAAAAAGATTGTCTCGATAAATTCTAATGGATGGATTATATAACGCATAAACAATAATAAAAATTACATAATCGTCGTTTCTAGCGAGCGGTAATTTTCTAGCGCGCTACAACGATTTGAAGAGTGTACAAAGCTAGTGTAGGCAGAAAATGTTGCGAACAAGTTGACCTAAAGTAATAAGTATAACAATGTGGCCTTGTGCGTTCTAAGGAAAACGGATCGATAATCGCTAGAATGGAAAATCGAATAGTTGTAAATTATATAATATTTTAAAATTAACGTTGCGTAAAATTCTTTTACAAGGCAACCATTAAAAATGATTTTACCTTTACTTTGAATATTTCCACTACAAATTAACAACTCCTTACTGAATGACATTACGAAATATGTTTACAAGGTTTATTCGTTTTCTAGAAACTGTCTTAGTCATAAATTTGTATTAACAATCAACTTAAACGTAAATATTTAAGTAATATGATTCATCAATAATAATGAAAATTTTGTATAAATTAATGTTTTACTAGTTTCTTTTTGTTGCGGATGTTTTAAATACATTAGTAAATTAAACAAAATTATATATGGTTGCGTGAACATCGGTTTACAGGAAAGTAATTACGTTTCGTGATCCAGGAATAAGTTGCTACAGTCGAAAGTACTGGAACGTTGTTCCAAACGTGAACCGCGCAATACAATGAATCTAAATGTGATAATATAATGTAAAACACGTGTATATTTGGTTTCAGAGTAAGTATTATCATAAACACGTTATATGTACATATCAGATAAAACACTTGTGAAAATTTTATATCTAATTGGAAGTACATGTTACATTCAGTAAATTCATATCAGTTGATGTCATTTATTTTTCTTTCCTTGTTAATTAATGCTGACATAAATAGTTCTCGTGTGTTTGAAATGAAATAATACTAATTAGTATGTAAATTGTGTTTCTTAGTGTTCTGCATATTTCTTGAAGGTTAGAATTCACGATGATTTATGTTTTAATGTTTTTGCTTTATAAACTGAAATTATTCTAGAAAGAATATTAATCATGAGATACCAATAATATTTCTTCTATGCTTATTGTATAAATATTTTTCTAGTACATATATTCAAATGGATTTCTCGTTGGAATTGATAAATACGTACATACTGTAACATAAACGGAACACAAGATACACGTGTCGTTATACTAAACGTTAGTTTGACATTAATTGCTGCTCTACTTTACGTTTGCAAAGTGTGAATAAATCGTATGTCAGTTTAATACAGTTACCGTTTTGTTGGGTGAAGTTATAAAGAAAATGTTATTACAATTTACATTAATTTTTTTCAAACGAATCAATTTTGGTATAAGAATAAAATGCTATAATTCGCTTGATGTATGTATGTAGTAAAAGTGCGGAAAAACCCTCAATGAGTTTAACAATGTGTCATCAGTGTCGTATATATACGTGAGCACTAAATATTTCTTAAGTAGAATAATTAGAATTTCTATTAAAAAGTGATGCATTTAACTTTGTGAGATTTATACTCATTATTATAAAATGATTGAAAATTTGTGATAAAGGTTAGGAAATCGGTTTTATTCAAATGTAAGAAATTGTTAATAAATCAATTAAAAAGTATTAACTGAAAAATGATTAATTTTAATTTTTTAAGGGTAAAGATTCAACCCCAACAATGTGGTTAACAACAGCTGAATCAGCCAGTCTTGGTGCTGAGGAAGTGGCAGCTAGATTGCATGTCGATATAAGAACAGGACTTTGGTGGCAAGAAGCTGACCACCGAAGACAATTAGTTGGGTTTAATGAATTTAGTGTTAGAGAGGAAGAACCAACATGGAAAAAATACCTTGAACAGGTAATTGAGAGACTGCTGTTGTTTGACTAATAATAAATTACTATTATTATCAACAGAATAAAGAATTAAATGTATCCTTTCCTTTTTCTAGTTTAAAAATCCCCTAATTCTATTACTTCTTGGTTCTGCCCTTGTTAGTGTATGTATGAGACAGTTTGATGATGCTATCAGTATTACAGTGGTACGTATTAAAATTCTATATTGATTTTGTTATAAATTTATTATTTTCTGCATTAGGTTTTAATAGAAATTTTAATTGTTAAAACATTTTTCCAGGCTATCATAATAGTAGTGACAGTTGCATTTGTACAAGAATATCGCTCTGAAAAGTCCTTAGAAGAATTAAATAAGCTGGTGCCACCAACTTGTCACTGGTAAGTAAAGTTGTAATTATTTATTAAATACTTTTCCATTAAAAACTATATAAAATTATAAAATTGTATCAAGTATGATAAATAAAAATTTTTAGTAGTATTTATGTAAATTAACATTTCCTCTAGAAAAAATGGTCCTTGGAGGATATATTAACCCTTTATATGGAGCATTCTTTTGCCTTATTAGAAAAGAAGATATATAGTATCGAATTCCAATTAATAGATCAATAAGGTGAAATATCCTTTCCTGTAACATCTATTTAACATGTCCAATTTTAGAGATATAAAGTTGTAAATTGAGGAAGGAAGTTAGACCCATTCATTCTTATAATGCACAGACTGTGCCAATGTTTAAAAGTTTGAATATTAAAATAATTATTGTAACATTTTTTACAGCTTACGAGAAGGCCGTGTAGAAACATTTCTTGCTCGCAATTTAGTTCCTGGTGATATAATTTATTTAAATATTGGAGATAGAGTACCTGCAGATATCAGAATATTTGAAGCAATAGATTTAGCAATTGATGAGAGCAGTTTTACTGGAGAAACTGAACCAGCACAGAAATCAACAGCTCCAATACTTAAAACTAATGGATTAACAACAAAAAGAAATATTGCATTTATGGGTACATTGGTGCGTTGTGGTAATGGAAAAGTAAGTTATATTATGACAAATTAATTTTTATACATGTATAACATAGCAATGATTTACAATATGTAGAAAACAAATTTTACAGGGTATAGTGGTAAATACAGGAGAGAAAAGTGAATTTGGAGAAGTTTTCTCAATGATGCAGGCTGAAGAAGCTCCAAAGACACCATTACAAAGAAGCATGGACATTTTGGGCACTCAGTTATCCTTTTATTCATTCTGTATCATTGGTATTATTATGCTTCTTGGCTGGATCCAAGGCAAAGCTATACTTGAAATGTTTACCATCAGTGTAAGTTTAGCAGTAGCAGCTATACCAGAAGGTTTACCTATAGTTGTGACTGTAACTTTAGCATTGGGCGTTATGAGAATGGCTAAGAGGAAAGTCATTGTGAAAAAATTACCAACAGTTGAAACACTTGGTAAGTGTGTACAATATAGTTGCATAATATTTATCTGACCTAGGTGAATACATGTAAATATTATGTTATCTAATTGCGTAGGTTGCGTAAATGTGATATGTTCCGATAAAACTGGTACTATTACTAAGAATGAAATGACTGTGACGATTTTGGTGACGCCGGAAGGATACATAGCTGATATTACCGGAGCTGGTTACAACGATAAGGGAGAAGTACGAATTCGGAAATGTGACAATTTTGACCTTGCACGTGCCGCTATCACCAACATGTTGGAAGTAGGATGTGTCTGCAACAACGCTATAATACAGAATGAGATTCTGCTCGGTCAGCCAACGGAAGGTGCACTGATAGCAGTAGCAATGAAGTATGGGCTGTATGGAATTGCCGATAAATATCTACGGTTACAAGAATACCCATTTTCATCTGAGCAAAAAATGATGGCTGTGAAGTGTACACCGAAATACGGAGAGGTAAAATAACGTTTCAATGTATGTAATTTTTTATGAAATTAGCTATTTAAAAATTAGTGTTACATTTTTCTAATATCTCTCCGTATATATTACAGAATAGACAAGAAATATATTTTGTAAAAGGTGCTTTGGAAAAAATTTTACCGTTATGTACCAAATACTCTGTTAATGGTCAGGTATATTCTCTCAACCAAAAGAAAGACGAAGAATTTTTGACAGAAGCATATGAGATCGGGCAACAAGGATTAAGAGGTACAATTTAATGATAATATTAATGATGATAATATTAATTCTGTTATTTCATATTTTTTAATGCACTTACAGTTGTTGGATTGGCACGCGGTACATCGCTACAAGATCTAATGTATGTTGGTCTTGTGGGTATATGTGACCCTCCTAGACCACATGTTCGTGAGTCTATAACAACTCTCATAAATAGCGGTGTCAAAGTTAAAATGGTTACTGGCGATGCCAAAGAAACTGCAACTGCAATAGGTACTATTTAAATATATAAAATTTGTCATAGTTCATAAAGGTTTTGCAAGAATAGTGCACCGCATTTGCTTTTCTATTCTAGCAAGTATGATTGGGTTAGATGTACTTCACTCGCGAATAATCTCTGGAGATGAGATCGACTTAATGTCTGAACATCAATTAGAACAGTGTATTGATAACGTTAGCGTATTTTATCGTGTCACGCCTAAGCACAAATTATGCATCGTAAAAGCCTTGCAAAGGGAAGGAAACATAGTAGGCATGACGGGTGATGGTGTGAATGATGGAGTCGCTTTGAAAAAGGCAGACATAGGCATAGCCATGGGTAAAAATGGTACCGACGTTTGTAAAGAAGCTGCGGACATGATTTTAGTGGATGACGATTTTGGAACTATTATGTACATATTAGTTTCTTGTTTAGTAATGTTGACTTTTTTTCACATTTATTTTTCCTTAATTGTACATACTTTCTAGTGCTGCAATTGAGGAGGGGAAAGGAATTTTTCATAATATACGAAATTTTGTAAGATTCCAATTAAGTACTAGTATAGCTGCTCTATCTCTAATCGCGCTTGCTACTTTGATGGGTATACCGAATCCTTTAAACGCAATGCAAATTCTTTGGATCAATATTATTATGGACGGTCCACCTGCTCAAAGGTAATTGAAAAATTGAAAAATTTTCGAACGCGTTACGTTATAATAATATTGACACACACGATTATCTATCGTAGTCTTGGCGTCGAACCAGTTGACAAGGATGTCTTGAAACAAAAACCACGTAATACGAAAGAACCTATGATCACGCGACATCTTATTGTTAACGTACTATTTTCAGCTACTATTATTATTCTTGGTACTCTATGGGTTTATAATAGAGAGGTACGAGGTTGTTTCATTGCAGACAGAATGTCGATTCATATAAACTTTTTAACTTTCCTCTTGTCCTGCTTTTGTTAGATGACGACTGGTGGCAACACTGCAAGGGATACAACCATGACATTTACATGTTTCGTTTTCTTCGATATGTTTAACGCTTTAAGTTGTAGATCACAGGTAAAAAAGTAACGAGGTTGTGCAACATTATAACATATATTTTCCATGATCTAAACATAACATAAATATTTTAGACCAAATCGATATTTACCATTGGTTTATGGAGTAACAAAATGTTCCTGGTAGCTGTAACATTATCAGTAATAGGACAGATGTTAGTGATCTACTTTCCACCTTTGCAACGAATTTTCCAAACAGAAGCTCTTTCAGCAAAAGGTATGTATGACGTGCGAGCTTTTGAAACCATGTTGCTTTCATCATTAAAATTCTAAGAGAAGTATTTATTTCTGTTTTTTTTTTTTTTTAACAGATATCTTGTTTCTCGTCGCACTCACGTCAAGCGTTTTCGTAATAAGCGAGATAAAGAAATTTATAGAGAGGCAACTGTACAGGCGTCGTGCAGGTACACAATATTACAATAAGTCCGAGATGGATTTTGTATGACAATTACAGTCTGCCGAAGATAAGGCGGACAAGGATCATTTGGAATAAATATACCCAACATACATCGTACGGGTAGTAGTCATTCGTTCGTTTATCAACATTATCTCGCTAATACACTCGACTATACTTGCACATTTGTAAACTTGTATGTGCACTTGTCACGAAACGAACATTTCTCCGCGTCTTAACCGTGCGCGTTTAATTAAGATTTACGATGACTGCATTTTTTAACATTTACAAATTTTTCCGTCATTCTGACGTACGATAACCGGATTTTAGACGTTAGAATCTAACTGTTTCACATTCTCGTCTTCACGGTGATTAATATTGGACACAAGTCATAGACTCTAGAAACGCTATGCACATTCCACACAATTTTCGTAGACGATCGATTTTAACGATAACTAATCGCAATCGTATTTATAGCAATTTTCGCATCGATTAATCATGATACAGTTCTGTCTAAACACATTTTTTTAAAATCATCCAACTAACGAAGCAATTTGTCTCTGAAAGAAAACAAAAAAAAATCACGTTCACTCATTTCTACTTTTAAGGACCCTTTTGGGCCATGGTAATTATAGATCGTATTATCGAAATAATAAAACTATAATCCGTGACGAAGAAACATATGTTTACGACAATTAATTAAGCACACGAATCGATTGCATTTAAAAATACAATTGATTATAATTGGGAGAATAAACGATCTTGTAATGTTCCTTAATTTCATCACATAACTCGATGTGTTTCCGATAACAAAGAAAGAGAAACTTTAATGCAGAGTTATAGAAATCAATGTAGGTAATGCGTTATTATACAGTACGTGATAAAATGATTTTCTTGCAATCGGAAGCAAAATCGTGTATGTACTATGTATCATTTTGCAAACGATCGCCCTATATAATATCAGTTGCTCTTTATCGAATGTTCATTAATTAGTTGACTTAATAGCGTACTTAGTGCTCCATGTTGTCTTAATGAATTCCCTCGAGGGCACTGTAAGTTTTGTATTGATATAGATCTGGTCCACCATAGCCGTAGAGTAATTTTCCTCTGCCATTTTCATCGTAGTATGGATAGCGGTATTTAGGCCTATAAATAAGAAAGTAATATAATCAGTATAATCTTATAATCTCATTTACATTTAACCTTATAATCAATGTATGTGTATCTTAGCGTAGCATAACCTTTCTAACTCCTCTGAACAATTGTTTCCTTGCTTGTACATACTTATCGCTAGTTGTAACTTAGCATGAGAACATCGTAGCTCTTTTTACAATTTTCTAATAGCGAATCGTTGTCTCGTCTCCTTTTTTTTTTACACGACTTAAGCATAAGTTTGTCTTCTTTGTATCTGTTTTACAAATTCCTTACCGTTCGAAGTATTGGAAATTAGGTGCCTTTGGTTGTGCTATCGTTGCTGCGATCTCAGCTATCAATCCGAGCAGAAACGCGACGATTATTGTCGCAAAGATCATGGTCGTCCACTGGAAGTAGGTCAATTAGTGTTAGCGTGTCGAAACGAAAATATGCAAAAAATAAATGTGTCCTACATGCAGCGTGCATATGCTTTAGATGGATTTACTGAATGTTTCATAAATAAAAATACTCAGTACGAAAAAGATGAGAAAAAACGAGCGTCGTTTTATGTGGCATGTGCACCTAAACCGGGTCAAGTAGTATTTTGAGACCTACTTTTTTCCTAAAAGGAATCTTTTACTCCCAGAAATCCTTTTCAATATATGAATACACACGTATAACGTCTAATTTTTATTTGTACATTTTGTGCTCTTTAAACTTTTCATTTTAATTCTCGCGTTCATTTACTTACGGAAACGTGTCTTGCCATCACGATAACTGCGAGTTACGAGTCAGCCTTTGGAACGAAAGTTTTGAGATTCCGTCACGAACTGTAACACCAAATATACGAGTGGTTCTTTTTTTTATTCAAATACACTTCTCTACATTTAAAAATAGCAGATAACTTTTATCTGAGAAAAGAGACACGACAAAGAGGTGATACTACGTCCCGTACGATCGGTCTGTTTCCGTCTTTTCTGATTTCACCTTTTACCTGTCTTATTCTGAAGTCCGTTACCGTTCTCTATTCTCTCCCCACCCGGTTCTTTCTTCGATACGTATTAAGTGAAAGTCAAACGAACCACCTCGGACTTTGTACGTATCCACACACCTGCTGCAACGCACGGAGGAACCTTGAAAATACAATTCTTCTTTGAAGTCATCGTCGAAAGTCGATTACACGACGATGGCTGACGAAATTTCTCAAGGTCGAAGAAAGAACTAAAGTGGGTTTTACATAATTCCTCATCAGACATCGAATACTCCATCGAATAAAATATTTTTTAAACTAAATGTCTTTTTTTGAGTGAAGAAAGGAGAACGCTCTTAGAGTGAATTATAATTTATTTAAAATACAGGGTGGCGCATAAGTCACGTTATCATTTAAAAATAGAATAAACTATTTTTTCAAAATTTGAAACAAAAGTTGTAAAACATATAATAAAAAGAAAGTTATTCAATTTTTAAACGGTAAGGCGACTTATGGACCACCCTGTATAAGTTGCTTTAAAAATGTAGGATTATTCTTTGTTAGAATTATAAATAACTTTATTATAAATGTAGGATTATTTTCAAGTTGTTTTTCTTTTTATTTTTTACAAAGACTAGTATAATACAATTGTAGTTGCAGTGAAGAATAATTTTTCTGATTTTTAACGCATCTTTTTTCAGATTTCCTGTCATTCCTACGCAGACGTTCCCCATGGTCCTTTGTATCCAATTCCCATGCCAATCTTCGCAATCGCTAGCTCACCGTAACGACCATTTTCCTCCTCGTACCTGGCTCTTCTCTGTTTCCCAACTTCTGGATCGAAATCCCATTCCGTCCGCTGCGCAACGATATTATCAGTGGTTTAACGCAAGTAATATTTCTTTCGTTGTTGTATCATTGAATTTTTATTTATAATGTTGATCTTCTGTTTCACAGAATCTTGTACTTGCCTCATGGATGAGCGGTATCCCCGCTATGTTATACTGGAGTAGATCATGAATGAACGATAACACGGGTTCGGCGGCTGTTGTAAATTTGTCAGTGTGAAACAGGGAGACAAGAAAAATCGAAATTACCTGAAAATTATAGAAGTTTATTCGTTTAACAACTACAGCATAATATTTAGTACAAATTATTTTGTAAATAATCGTTATTTATATGTGCATGTTCAAACGGGTGCAATGTTGTTTTAGAGTTGTATATGCAACTGCAAAATTATCACTTATTTTTGTATATAATTGTTTTCTTTACGTTATATGAATTTATTTTTGTTAATGTACACCCTATCCTGTCTTCACTTTAGTTTCATTTTCTTTTTTTCTTTTATAACAATGGAAGAGTAAGAGTCATATAAACAATGACTGATGATAGTTAATTGAGTTTGTTTTTGTTAATATACACTGTTGTATGTTCATTAAACTTATAAGCACTTTAGTTTCCGTATCTTTCTTTCTTTCTTTTATAAGAAGATAGGAGTTACGATTCTCCGAAACAATACATAGATAATATTTAATTATCGCGTGTGTCGCGATAGATATATATTTCTTAGAATATAATTTTCCAAAGAATCCATTCATATTATTCATACCATTGTACTAATTCTACCACATCTCATGCATAAACATAACTCATGCCTTTTTACGAGTGAAAGTAACACCACGTTCAAACCCAAAAGAATTTCAATACAAACACCTCGTGTTACCCCCTATGAATTACTACTAAACAAATTTTCCATCCTTTCACACCACTAACTTCAAATTTCAACTGCTCATACAAGAAACAGCGGAATTTATGCAAAAATCACAAGCAAATGGATTACAATCAAATGTACAACTCCAAATACCAAATTACGAAGAAAATACATGTTGTTCCGTCTTCAAACGATCACGTACAGGCACATCACTTAACGAGCACGGAATACCAACTAACTATACGCTTCCAAAGCCGACCATACTGAAAGAAATCAGCTGGCGTATATCTTGGCGGTCTGGCGCAATGCAGCCCAGTGAAAGTAAACCTGAGATGCCGGGTGACAGACCCGCGAGTCGTTTGAAAAACTACGTCCGACGTGAATGACAATCGTTGAAAAAAAATCACGATGCATTCTGTGCACGAACTGTTCACCCACCTGAAAGACATAAAGGTGGGTGAACACCATGAACAATTTCATATTGCTTTCCCCGTGTTCTTGCTTGGAGGTTGAAGACGAAATGCGTTCGAGCCACGCGTTTTTATTAATCTGCTCGGTAAGTAGGTCGTAACAATCGTAATTAACAATGAATTGCATCGTGAAGAAATCGTTTCATGGCTGTTTTTTTATTTGAAAGTATAGTTGTGCATGATCGTCGAGTGCGGAGGAACCGTGTTGACCCGGTTTACCAGGACACTTCCATTCGATTTTTCCCCTTCGAGATGGTCAGGGATGTTTCGATCATTATGGTCCGGTGGAAGGATCTGGGAGTGGCCAAGAAACAGCGCGGAGAGTCTCTTAAGACTGGTGGCTTCTCCAGACACAAGGAAGAAGATGGTATTCGAGTTCAGGCCAGAAGATGGACCTCGAGCATCGCTCGATTATCAGAGGCGTTATGGCTATCGAGGACAATGGTTGATCGACATGCTGGGATCAGGATTTCGTCCTGATGGAGTGCCTTCTCAACAGCCTCTGCCTTCTTCCATTTTGGTCCCTCCGCCGCCTCCTTTTTGATCATCGATTATCATATAATAGTGAAATGAACGATAGAAACAAGCGAGACAATGGAGTATTTAAAGGATGTGTTCCTATATTGAAGTGTGATTAAGAAGTTGGGATTATGATTGTTAGATTGCCCACACTTTCACATAGTCTATATGAAGACCATTGTCTTTGTTCTTCCAGGTCTCGAGCCACTTGTTCTTCGCCTGATAGAATTCGAAGAATGCCTGTAACAAAACACGTTGTGGTTGAAATTCTTCGACTCGTGAGAGATAGTGAAGTTTCTTGTACCTTTGATTTTTCGTTACGCCAGGGTTTCATGTATCTGTCGCTGACACTTCCATCTGGGAAGGTGACGCTGCCTCCCACGGCTACACCCAGATTTATACTGACCTGTGAAAATTCATAACGCTTTAACCCTTTTGTGACCGAATTATATTTTCTCTATTTCATCTGTACGTAGATACTAAATTGAGATCTAAGATTTTCGTTCCAGTGCTTAATGTGGAACATACGCGTCCCACTAGTCACGAAAGGGTTAAATAAATTATTTGGAACGACTGAATGGGTGAAAAGTGGTAGGAAAATATTCCAGTGGAACTTATTTTCGGGAAATCGGAAAAACTGATTTGCGGCTAAACTAACGATCGAAACGAAAAACTTTCTATTATGAAGTTAGAAAGTTTTCAGATGGCACAGATAAATTGGTGAAACGATGACAGAGATATATCGATTAGTAATGATTCTTATTTTGAATAAATATGTTAAGTTTTGGCGGAGTCGTGATTATTGAAATTCAGACGATGAAATCTGATAGAATTTTCCCAAAGGCCTAATAGTAAACAGAACTTATGTTCAAAAAATCTACTAACTGGAGTGTCATACAACGCTGGCACTTTTTGCTCGCCGTATTGTTCTCCGTCAACTTTAACCGTGATTCTACCGCTCCTCCATACCAAATCGTACACGTGGTAATCGTCAGACCACAGTGAGTTCGAGGTCTTCGTGGGGAGGCTCGCCCGATTGTCCTGGATCTTACTCTGACCTATGTTGATCGCGTGAGCACCGCCCCAAAGAACGTATCCGCTCAAATCGTATCCCTCTGACGATCTGAGTACAGCATTTCCGTTCGAATGAGCCACTACGATGTCGCAGAATAGCGACGAATTTTCTGTATATTTCTCTCTGGCCTCAAGAGAGATCACTGAAGAGAAATTATTATTATTATCACTAGTTATCATTTTTGTGGTTTGGTGATTATTTGACGGGTTTAGCATTTTTCTGACTATTGCTGTTATTTTCAGTATGCTTACTCTTTGTACGTTTGAGCGAATATGTGTGAATGTGTGTGTGCATGCTTAATGTTTTAAGACAGTTCAGAAGATTCTTAGTTCTGAATTCAAATGAAATTAGTTTCTCGGTTCCAGAGATCTTTTAGTTCGATTGTTAAATCTGTG